AGTGACAGTGAAATGAACGCTTTTCTAGCACAATGCACTGAAGATTAAGTCTGTATTGCAGGGGTCTGAGCGTGGGCCCATTTGTGTGACGCGTTGTTGTTGTGATGGACTAAGAGCTAAGATATTTTAAAAGACATAGGAGCTTTTGTGTATAAGAGTTTGGTATGAATAATAAAGTTTCTGGCTTTTTACTCGGGTGGGGGGGCGAGGGGAGGGGATGCAAGTTTGTGGCATTCTTCCCTTTTGTTTTGGATGGTGCTTGTCTGAAAGCTGCGATATGCTCATTTCTGGTTTGCAGATAAGGCATTTTTAGAGCAAGCTGATAATGCACCAAGGTCTCTGAAACCCTGAAGTTGTGGTTGGCAGAAAGACAGTTTAGGAGATTAGGTCACCGTTACCTGACTGTTGTGTTGTGGTTTTCTTTGTCATTATTTTCTAAACTTTAAATCCTGTCACGTCTCCTGTAGTTGCCACTGTTGCTGTTTCACCAGTAGAACCCAAGATGGACGGAATGCCAAGCTGGCAGCTTGAGGAAGCTTGAGCGTGAAGGCCTGAAGCTTTGGAGAGGTGACTTCACTGCATGAAGGCAGCACCAGGAGAGAAACAGCTGTGCAGTGTGATTTGGGAAGGGAGCGTCTGAGTGCAGACTCATCTCTGACACGGCAGCAATAGGTTGGATGTGGGATCCGAGTGTTTTGCAGAGCTCCTGGTAGGAGTTGCTCTCTGGAGCCACAGCTCTGTAGTTATTTTCCTTCTGGAGATGCATATTTATTTGGATTAACTTCACAGGGAGCCTAGACAGTGCTAGCTGGGTCTTGGCTAGCTGACTGTTGGATGTGTAAAAGTAGGTGGCATAAATTTGCCCTCACAGCTGTAAGTAGTGAGGTGAGAGTTAAACAACGATGGGGAAAGACAAAGATGGGAACGCATGCCCAAAACCAGCCTGGGATTTGAGTGTGGTGAGCACCTCTGTCTTTAGTGTTGGTAACTCTAAACGCAGCGGTTGCTTTGGTTTACTGTTGGTTTGTCCCAGTGATGATCTCTGTGGCATCATGCAGGGCACTGCGTGCTCTGCACAATATGAGGAGTTGGACTCCATGCACACACCCAGGGGTTGCATCCAGGATGGAGTTGGGGTTAAAATGATGCTGTTGTGTGTTGTCTGAGATAGCAGAGACAATGCAGTAAGTGCACGGCCTGCTTGCTGGAGCAAAGTGCTGCAAGGCACAGGCAGATGGCTGGTGCTGGGTACGGTGCACAGAGCTCCCAGCCGGAATCAGAGCTCTGAGGTCTGTTTTGAACTCGGTTAATACAAAGCTGTCTCACTTCCCTGCTTTCTTAACTGCTGTGACAAACCAAACTAACCAACCGCCCTGAAGCCCTAACGCTCCTTTTGCAGCTACTTGAGACCTCTGCCATCTCCCATTGTTTCTGTTCTGGTGATTTGGTCTGTGGACTTCAACGAGCTTCCAGTGATGCTGTTGTTGCTGTTGTTTCTAAAGAGGGAATGCCCAAAGGGTTCCAGTGTGAAAAGGGCTCACATTTGCACTGTGATCAGGAACAGGTCGGGGTGTTTCTGTTTCTCACTTGGCCCCAAGTATGAGGTGAGCTGCTTTTTGCAGGAGCTGACTGGCATCACTGCCAGATGCCTTTGCTTCCCACTTACTTGCCTTATTGCTAATTCAGAAAGAAAAATTGGAGTGGTGGGGCTGGTCATGTATTGGCAGTGCACCAAATAGCAGAAGAGAGAAATGAGCAGGGCGTTGCAGGTGCAAACTTCTTCTCTTCCTGCCATTGCATGTTTTTGTTATTCTGGATAAGGCAGAGCACCCCGGCCTTGCCTGGGGTCTGCAGGCACAGCTCTGATGGAAGAGGTAGCAGGAGGGCTGTTGGAACAGTGACTGTGGTGTTTTAAAGTAGCAGCTGAGCACAAATGTTTGGTGTTGGGCTTCATGAGAGAAGGGGCACAGGCAGATGCAGCTCCGGCAGTGCTTCTGTTAGCTGGCTTCTGTTGCGAATGCTGAAACCTCAGGCTTCCTGTACTGACTGCAGATTTTCACTTGACTGGGGTATTTGCAGTGCATGATTGTCATACTGTAATACTTGAATCAACCTTTTTTCTGTCTCTGGGCGAGCACTTGCACTTCCCCCTCCTGCTCTGTGTTGTTCTAGTCTTTCAACTGACTTTTGTCTCCAAAGCTTCAGGGAGTGATGCAGCAAAAGAAAGACTGGTCGCTCCACCAGAGCAGAGTCCCGTTCAGGAGGGAAAATATCCGATCCCTGAAGATGCCTGGTGCACAGATGGGTCCAGCAAGGGCAACCCGAGCGAGTGGAGAGCAGCAGCGTACGATCCTTGCAGCGAGACGATCTGGTTGGACGAGGGGGATGGTCAGAGCAGGCAACGGGCAGAACTGCGAGCCGTGTGGATGGTTGTGAGCGAGGGACCCGGTGATGGCATCCTGAACATCTGCACAGATAGTTGGGCTGTGTGCCGGGGGCTCACTCTTTGCATTGCGCAGTGGGCCACCCAGGAATGGACTGTCCACCCCCCCGATCTGGGGCAAGGACGTGGTTGGAGATACGGAATGCAGTCAGACACAGGACTGTAAGTGCTACCGAGCTTCTGGTTATCAGCCCAGTGGCGTGGCCTACTTGCACACTTGACACTCACCCCGTGTATCTGCTCATTCCTAGGTGAATCTCAGTGGTTTTGACCCAGGCCCAGTGGTGGTGCACTGAGTGCTTCCTTCAGTGCCGAGCTCTCAGGAAGCACGAATCGCTGCAGGTCTGATGGCTGCCTTCCACAGCACAACAGTGATGGGGATAAGGAGCTCATCCACCGTCCCGCCCTCGTTTCTCCTGGCTCTGCTGAAGATGCTGACCTGAGCCCAGCAGCCATCGCAGTCCCCAGCCTGGATTGTGACCCAGTGTCTTTGCAGTGCAGCCCAGCCAAGCGGAGTCCAAGTGCCCGGCCAGCAGCAGCTCCACGAGGAGCGGGTCGGCATCGCTGAGGAGCAGCTGAGCCTCTTGGAGGAGGGCTTAGAATCAGGCAGCCGGTCCCAGGCAGCGGGCAGCGCACACAGGTGTGGTGCAGTCACACTTCTCTCCAAATTCGGTGCTTAATTGAATCCACACAAATCTTTATTCTGTGATGAGCAAACCATGCTGTCTACCAAATGATGTCAAAATATTCTTTCTCGCCCTTCACTTCCCTTTCCTGCATGTGATACAGCAGCCCGCTGATCATCGGGGGCTCAATTTGCCACCAGGGAGCGTCAGCGGTCACTGAAGGCTTTGTTGGCTGTCAGAGGGCTCCACTGATGATCAGGGATCTTCAGTGAGGTCAGAGGGCTTTGCTAATCAGCAGAGGGCGTCATTGGTCATCAGAGAGGAGATTTGAAGGGTTTGGGAGGAACTGGAAGGAGGGACTGGGAGAGAGCAGAGGGAGGGTACTGGGGCTGCTTGGCAGCATGGGGAGCTGTGTCCTTTTTGGAGCAGGCAGCACAGAAGGGATGGAGAGGCCCATGGGTGCAGCACATGGGGTGTGGGGTATGGAGCTGGGGACCCCTCCCACCACGTAGAGGTGGCCTCTGCCAGGCAGGAGCAGACACGAACAGCCCCTGCTGAGCATGGGGACGCAGACACAGAGTGTGGCTCTGCTGAGGGCTTTATTGATCACTGGAGGATGTCAGAGCTGATCACATCCCTAGGATACCTCGAGACCCTCCTCCTCTGCACAGCTGTCCAAAGCATGAGGGAAGCTCTGCGGGTGGCAATGGTCCCCCTGGTACGGGGCAGGGATGGCGCCCTCCATCCCATCTATCCCCAGGCCCTGACACACAGTGCTCAGGGCTCGAGAGATCCCTAGGGTCCCTCAGTGTCTGTGCTGCAGTGCCACCCTTATTGTAACAGACTTCTTCCATACGTCCAATCTAAACTCTCTAACTCTTTCCCCTTCTTTCTTGCAGCCCCCCTGAAGATACCAAAGGCCGGAAGAAGAAGAAGGCAGCAGAACCTTATGCTCCCACTGCATACAAATGCTACAGGAGCAGAAACAAACCGGGAAGCTCTGGGTTCCTCCCGGGGAGGCAAAACTGCACAGAGACACCCCAGCTGTGTTTGGCAGTGCCCTCCCTGCCTCCCCCGCTCCTCGCGTGATCCCACTGCTGAGCCAGGATCGAGCTGCCCAGTGCCGCAGAGCACCGTCCAGAGCTGGGCCGAGACCTCCTCCCCTTCCTCTCCTGCAGCTCGGCGTGCAGCCTCACCTCCTCCTGTGGCAGAGCTGCTGATCCCAGGCGTGCCGTCGGGATGCTCCTCTAACCCAGAGCTCCTGCCCACCCTGCCAAGAAAAAGCAAACCAACCCCCCGCCGCCAGCATGGCCCCCCAGCAGGGAACGCACACAGCTTCACGCCGCTCCCCTTCACCCTACCTCAGGACCGGTTATTATGTCCTACCTCAGAGACCAAAGGAGCACTGATCTGGACATTGGTACAAAACACAGCAGCGTCACTTTAAAACGCAAGTTGTGTTTTCGTTGTCATGGGTATTACAGCCCAAAGGTTGTAATAAAGTTCATGCAAAGGAGAACAAATTACAGGTGTTCCATACACAAAAGCAAAGAGGAAAGGTGTGAGGGTGTTTCCCAATGAGAAGTAAGATTCCAGAAAGGGACACATGCAGGGACCCCAGAGGGATGTGGAGGCAAACAGTAACTGCTGCAGAAGCAATGGTACAGAGAGAGAATTCACTGCTAGGAGGAGCTCCCAGTCCAGTGAAAAAGATTGACAGCACTGGCTGCAGGGTTGTCTTTTAATTAAAAACAATATTTAAAAACAATCTGGATTTTTTGAGCTAACTATTATAAATATTAGTGGGGGGGGGGAATGCTAAATGGTGCTGTAAACAAGGTGGGCGCGGAAGAGCCATGGCATGGGTGGTATCTTTATGTCTGTCTGCACAGCAGGCCCTGCTGCCCCTGCTTCATCTCTCCACAGGAACTGCCCCTGCTGGAGTCTCTTCTGGCCATAGTGAGCCAGGGCCATTCCCCTCCATCTGCCCTGCCTGCTGCCCATCCGCACGGCAATTCACGGCACTGGGCAGCGCAGGGAGCTCTGTGAAACACCCTCTGCATCCAGCTGCACAAAGGACTGCAGGGAGAGAGGAGGGCTGGGGCTGCTGGTGGCAGCTGAGGGACACCATGGGCCATCCGTGGTGCCCGTCCTGCTCCGGAGGCAGGCATGGGGAGCTGGGGGCTGTGACACGGCGCAAATGACTGCAGGCAGAGGGACGTAGCAAATGGAATGCAAAGCTTGTAATAACCTATCCTAGATTACAAGGAGAAACAGAAACAACAGTAATGCTAAAATTCCAGTCCCACCACAGCTGTGCTCCCAGACGTCCCATCCCACTGCTGTGCTGACTCGGAGGACGGCTTGGTTGTGGAGGGGAGAGATGGGGCCGCTGGCAGGGCCCCTGGAACGCTGCCGCTGCTGCCTGGTGCTGCGGGCCGGCGAGGAGCGCAGGGTTACGGGTAGCCGTACTGGTCGGCGATGGCCATGTCTATCTCCCGCTGCACCAGGAACTGCACGGGGCCGATCTTCATCTGCTGGGCCGCCCGCTGCCGCTCTTCCTGGGCCAGGTTCTTCATGCGCTCCCGCTCGGGCCGCTGCTCCGCTGTGATGGGCAGCGACTCCTCCATCACCAGCGGTATTACACCGCCACCCGCCTGCGGCCCCACGCAGGGCACAAAGTCCACGGGGCGCCGGGGCTGAGGCTGCTGCTGGTGCAGCGCTGGTGGTGGTGGTGGTGGCGGTGGGTCCCTCTGCAGCGCCGAGCTCCTCTGCGGGGACGGGCGCGGGCAGCTCGGCGTCGCCTCCTTGGCAGCACCCTCCTCCTGCACCGTGCTGCCTGGAGCTGTTGGTTCTGCCTTGTGCGCATGGCTGTCTTGGGGCTGGAGGGCAGCAGGGCCAGCGCTGGCTGAGGGCTGGGGCTGCACAGAGGGTGGCTGGCGCACCGGGCCCACCGCAGTCACCCTCTGCCCCAGCGGGTGCACGGCCTGGATGCATTGCTGCAGGTGATTGCGCAGCTCGCTGGCTCCTGCACCGGCCCCAGACAGCTTTGCTTGGCACGGCTGTTTGCGGCCTTTCCTCTCTGCTCTTTCCCCGCGGGGCGGCAGCTTCCTTTTCTTGGCAGGAGCGCTGCTGGTGGGCTGCTCCTGCTGGGATCTCTCCCCTTTCTGCAGGGTGCCGGCAGGCGCAGGGCGCTTGGCCCCCCGCTTGGTGCTGCCCCTGTTCTTCTTTTCTGCCACCTGGCTGGGGACAGAGCCTGGCGACGGGGGCGAGTGAGCCTGAGCCTCCTGGGGCTGCCTTTGCTGCACCTCCTCGGTGGGCTGTGCGCTTTGCGCTGAGGGAGGTGCGCTGACGGCCAGGGTGGTCGGCCGTGGGCTGAGCCGGGCGCTCGCTGGTGGCACGACGGGGCGCAGCTCCGACAGCCCGCACTGCAGCTCAGACAGGAGCCCGGGGGATGGAGGAAGCCCCCAGAAGGGGTCGGTGGGCGTCCCGGTAGCAGCCTGTGTGCTGAGCTCTCTGCTGTCCCCAGGGTTGTCAGGGAGCTCAGCGATGAGACATCCGGGGGCAGGGCTGCTGGGGTTCTCCTGGGGGACCTCAGCAGCTCTTGCCACGTCTGAAAATGCAAAAACATCCCCCAAATGGCCATGAGAGCCTTCTCACACCCACTCTGTGCAAACACGCACCTGCAGCTCTGCAGCCCCAAACTCACCATTGATCCAAGAGAGCAAACCCTGGATGTCCGTGATGTCCTCCGGCACATCCGAGCTGCTCGCCACTGCTGGGAACAGCAAGAAAAAATCCCAAAGAGTCAATGCCTGCTCTCCTGTACCATGTTCACAGCAAGGGATCTTGGGTGAACGCTGGGATCCCATTATAAATCAGGACAGGAGAGGTAACTGTCAATCCCAGGGATTAAAACCCCAAGCAACCCCACGCAATGAGAACAGTCCCAGGAAAGAACAGGCAGAAAGCCTAACTAGAAAGACAGTGCCCCAAACCCAGATGCCTGCTGTGTGTCTGTACCTCTCTTGGGTGCTGTGCCACACTCCTGGCTTTCCACGTGGCTGCGCTTCAGAGGAAGGCCACTGGCATCAGCTTCTGACACAAAGGAGACAAGAAAGACATGAAGAGCATCTCTTGGGAGGAAGATTTGAGCACTGCCAACCACAAACTTCTGGTCTTCAGCAGCAGTTTTGGCAATTTGCCTTTCTGCTGCTGCAGCCCTGTGCCACTTCTGCAGTCAGCACAGAACTGCAGTCCCTTGCTCTCCCCTCCATCACACGCAGCCCTTCATGCAGCCCTGTTTAGAGGCAGTGCCCACACCACAGCTCACAGGAGCTTCTTACCTGCGGAGGCTTTACGTTTCCCTCCTTGCCCCGCACCGTTCCACAGATGCACAGGTTTTGTCCCTACAACAACAGATGGTGTGTTGATTTCACAGACACCAGCAGGCAGCACAAGTATTGCCTAGTAAGCCCATGTCCCCCCAGAAAACAGAAAGATGCTACTTTGACAGCCCAAACACAACTGATAGTTCACTTCTCACTGCCCCTTCCTGCACTCCAAACTCCTTACTTGACATCGCCTGCAGCGCCGCAATCTTCAGCTGCCTGGATTCCTGAGTTCTCCTTTTGGAGAGGAACCTACAGAAAGCATCAACAAGGGAAAAATCATGAGGAAGAAGCATTTTCCCAGCTTTCTTCTGCTATGCAATGTCGTCTCTTGAGGAAGGCAATGCTTGGAAATCAGCTGGCTGCAAGAACTGCCTGCCCATCCCTAGCTGCAGCTGGTGCCTGACTGCCACGGCTTCTGTCAGCAAGTGCCCCCAGGTCCGCTTTTCCCCCACACGTGTGCTGACCGTCCATGCCCCCACCTGGCTCTCTGCTGAGACTTCAGCGCAGTTTGCTGAAACACCTGCTGGGCATCCCCTGGGTACAGCCATTCAGAAGGGCACCGTTTGACCTGGGAACTCCTCCCCAGCCCAGCTTTTCTGCTGATACCTCCCAGCACCCAGCCAGCGCCAACCCAGCTCACCTGGTCAGCCTGCTCAGCCGGAGCGGTGCCCAGCTGACGCACACGCCGCAGCGCTGCTCCCAGTGGGCTCTAAAGGAGGATCTCTCTCTCGAAAAGCACAGAGCTCAGTCTCCGTGTGCAGCACGCTCACTAGAGCACCAGCTCTGCTCCAGCTGGGGCACAAACGCTCCCAGCCTGGCAACCACTGTGACCTCAGCAAGTGCCTGCATCACCGCTGCGCTTGCATCACAGGCAAAGGAGTGGTCACCTCCCAGATCCAAGTTTTAGGAAACATGAGACTCACCAATGGGGTGAATGGGGTTCATTGAATGGGGGTTAATTGAAGTAAAGCAACAGAGAAGTGAAGATGACCTTGGGCAGCCCAGTAAAAACGCAGTATGGCCTCGTAGTGGTCTCACAGCTCTCAGGCTGTGCCTTCAGGTCCCTTGGCCGGTGCCAGTCTCTCTGGCTGTGTGTTTAGGCCCCAGGGCCACTCCCGGCTTCTCTGGCAGCATCTTTAGGCCCAGGGCGTGTGCCAGCCTCTCTGACTGGGGCTGTGGCTGTGAGCCCCTGGGCTGCATGCAGCCTTTTGGGCTCTGGCCCAAAGCCACCAGGGCTGGTACTGAATTGTAAGAAAACATGAGGGCCGCCCAATGGGGTTATCTGAAGGAACAAAACAGAGAAATTAAGATGACTCTTGTGTAACCAGCCTGGGTCATCCTCTCGCTCACGCACTGCATGATCAGACCCAGGAGATGTTGCCCCCAGGCTCCCCCAGATTGGAGGCCAGAAGGATTTGGGCTCCCAAGCAATCAGCCAGCATTTGAACGAGTCAGCCCTCTGGTTTTTGTGAGGACAGACGAGTCCACCTTGGAAAGCCATCTGGGCAAAGGCACAACAGCTTGGTTCTTGGGCCGCAGCACTCCGTGGCCAGGCGCTGCTCAAACGCTGGGCCTGCATTTCCTCCTGGGCATCCCCGCGTGCTCTGAGTCCGCTGCAGCTTTCTGCAGGTTTGTGGCTTCCTGCTGAGGAGCTCCTCGTGTTCTTCTGCAACTGCCCCCCAGCATCACTGCTGCCTCCTCTGGTGCCGTGCCGGGAGATGCGTCAGCGTCCATCAGCCTGCACTTCCTTCCTCCCAGCAGCAGCTGCTCCTGCACTGACCTTCACTCACACTGGATGCCGTCCACTTCTAGCGCCAGCTGACCTGCGAGACAGAGAAAGGAAATGTGGCATTGGCACAAATGCAGAAGCCCACGGCTGTGCCACCACCACGTACTGCAGCCTTGGGAAGCCAGCTGCCACTGCAAGCTTGGTCAGAATTAAAGCAGGCACCGTCAATTAAGTGTGACTTCTGAACTGAAGGAATTGCCACAGTCAGAAATAAATACTGAAATGGCTTACTGAACTGTAGGTGGTTCCCTCTGAATTCTTTTGCTTTGGGGAAAATATGGACTTGGAATTGCAGGGTACAAGAAAAACGAGGAGCACTTGGCAACTCAGGCAAAGTGAACAGTGCAGGGAAGATTGCTGCATTTCTTTTTCTCCTGGCCCAGACAGGAATTTTCCTACCTTAAAAGAGGTGCTGAAAAGAGAGACCTTAAAAGAGAAAAGAGAAGAAGAGCCTGACAGAGTAGACACATTACAGTCTCACATCACGGGTAGAAGCTGGAGAGCTCTCGTGGCACAAAGCTCAGGGCTGCAGAAATTAAGGGTGCCTCTAAGCTTCAAAACAAGGTGAAAGACAAGGTTGAATGCGAAACATCGGCACTTCCTGCAGAGCACATCACACAGCTGTAGGCAGTGCCTGAGGGGTAACAGATCAGAAAGGAAAACCTGACTATGTGAAGGCAGGGACAAGCTGCTCTCTTCTTCTGGGCCTTTGCTCAGTGAGGATTTCCCCCAAGAGCGCCGCTCAGGCTGCTGCTGTCTCCAGCTGTCGGTCACTTCCACTGCTGGACGCTGTGCCCACAGCTCATTCTGCTTTGGGCAAAGCCTGCTGGGTGAACTCCAAACCAAGGTCCCAGCCACGCTAATCCAGCTGGTTGGTCTGAAAGGGCTCAGAGGCCACGCATGGGATCCTTTCTGCTGCTGGTTCTCTCCGGGCAAGAACCTGCACTCTCAGAGCAGCAGCCAAGAGCTGGAAGGCAGAGGAAGCTTCCAATCCCCATGCATGTGGCTGCCTGCTAGGACAACAGCTGCCTGCTCTTCAGCACGGTGACGCTCACCCAGCAAAGCCCTCACCCAGCAGATGCCTTTCCTTACGCTCACAACTGTCTCACATTTGTGCAGCCCTTGGCACCGCATTTCCAATCCAAGCTCACATAGGTCTCAACCATTCCTTCTGTGTCAGTCTACTTGGATCCCCAGTTAGGGCTGCAGCTCAAGAGCTCAACACAACAGGAATAGCACAGCATGCAACTGGGAAACACATCTCAAGGCTGAGAAGAGCCAACCGTCTGACCTTGGGCACAACTCACCAAGAGCCAGGCCTTGCAAACTTGGCTGATCTGAGCATGCGGGAGGGGGCTGGCAACCAGACCAGAGGCGTCCATTTCAATTGCAGCTCCGTGTAGAGAAGAACGCCAAACAGTAACAGGAGTGAATGAATTCATTCACAAGCTGCACAAAGAGTTTGTTCTCGATTAAAAAAAGCATGCATTCCAAGTCAAAAAGCAAACAGCAGGAGTTGCTCTCAATGGAAGACGTTCCTATTCCCACACCTCATCCTCCTACCACAGCTTTCCTTGCCTCACCCCTCGCCCCAGCTCCTGGAAAATGCCCCAAGACTGAAAGTCAGCTCTCAAATCCATAGACTCCTTTCCCATTGCTCCATTAAAAGGAGACTTCAGACTTGTTTCACGCACTCCAACTGACCGAGCAGTGGTACCACAATCACTCCTAACACACGGAGGCCACTCTCAAAAGCTTGTAACAACTCCTGCCCCAAGACCAACATCTCCACAGCCATCCTTCTCACGTGAGTCCAGGAGACAAATCCACAGCACAGTCTTTCTGAGCTACTATCACATGAGTAGCATTTCTGGTGGTAGAAAGGCACAGCAAATAGTCCATCAGAGACATTCTGGCACATCTCCCCTGAAAAACAGCATGATTCAAACACCTGTGTTTCTAAAGATGAAAAACATCCAGTAAGCAGCAACGAGAGGCTCTGTTTTTCAATCTTTCCGAAGGGAGAAGTGTTCATGTCCACTTTTCCTGACCACACAAACATGGCCCCAGCTGTCAGAGCCCTTCTGCCATAGCACAAGCAGACTGCACGCACATTGAAGAGCACGCACAGCCCCTCCTGAGGTCCTGGAGCCACGGCTCCCCTTCACAGCTCCACAGCTTACCGGTGCTTCACACTGATGCAGCCTCACTAAAGCTTCATAGGTATCAAAGAAGGCCTGCAGAAGGCAAGAGGCGGCAGCCAGAGGACAGGACATTTTCCATTTATTATCCTTTTGTTGCAATAATCTGACTTAGCCTAACTTTCCTGGGTATTTTTCAATTATAACATTTGTGTATTCATTGATTATACATTAGGTTACATTCTAATGTACGTGCTGGAAACTGTGTCCACATTAAGCTACATCATCATCTGCTTTCCACTAATTTTTGTTCTTTGCAGTAGGCATCATAGGTGAGACTGAACTGGAAAGTGAACGTGTGACTACTTGGAAAATCAACCCACTGCTGGGGAGAAAACGCCAGGACACCCTCTGCAGGTTCCTTCCCCATCCGCCTGGGGCAGTGGCAGCAGAGCTGAAGACGAGAGCCCAGCAGGCAGTCAGACAGAAGTGAAAATCCAAGCCGTGAAAGTAAGAATGAAGTCTTTACAGAAGTTTGTGTCACTGAATTCAGAGAGCTGTTCTCAAACCTCAAAGACATGACTGTTTTCACTTGGCGAGGAATCAAACGTGCAGCAGAGGAAACACTCTCTGGCTCCTTTCCCTGTGCCCAGGTCTGTTCTGACACTGGCAGCGAGGCGCAGATCTTGTGTTTCTCAGGGGGAGAAAGGAGTTACAGCTGAATCCAAACCTAGAGTCAGCTTGGGCTGGTAAAATCCCTCCTACAGTGTAGGTACAAATTAATGGATTTCAGGGAGAGATTTCAAAGAAAACCAGCATGTTTGATGGAACGATTCAACTTCAAAGCTGCATCAGTCACTTTAGTCACCTGTTGAGCAACACCAAAAAGGAAAACAAAACCCCACCTGCAGGGCAAAGTCGGGATGAAGTGAAAATTGAACGGGTTTGGGCACCATTTCAACATTTTTCCCTTGGTTTTTCCAACCCCAAGAATGAGAAGAAGCTGTAAAGGAGCTAGAAGCCTCTCTGGGTAAACTAAAAGAGGTGGCGTAATGTAAGGATGCTGATTGCCTGAAGTGCCATTGGACTTGGTGTTTGTTATCTGGAGCCATGGTGCGTTTGCCAGCTTCAGTGCTTCTCTCTTTAAAGCACTTGCAACACGGAATTGGAAGTTTGTCATATGGCTTTAATAGTGCAGCTGACAGGAGCTGTGAGTGCTGCTGGAGCCCTGTTGTGTGCAGCTGTCTGCGATGGGTGCATGGAGCAGCACTGAACATCTGCAGCTGTTTCCTGCAGACAGACACGCAGACATAACCCTGCCTTGTGCCTTCTGCCTGTGCTTTTCTGTTATTTCCTAGCATCCTGCAAGCTTTCTTTGTTGTTTGGATTTTGTCTCTAGCTTTGCTTTGCGATTTCTTCCTTTGCTCTGCTGTCGAA